ATCTAGATTTGACAGATACAATTAGGGACTCCGCTGTAGTGATGTGTAGACACTTTCACCAGTCTGCGATTAACTTGTCAACAAAATTCCTTCTCAATCTCAACCGCCACAACTATGTGACTCCAACCTCATACTTGGAGCTACTTAATGCTTTTAAAATGCTTCTGAAGGCAAAGGTAGAAGAGGTTTCAGCCATAAAGCGTCGTTATGCAGGAGGTCTCGAGAAACTTGCTTTTGCCGCAACACAAGTGATGCAAATGCAAATAGACTTGTCAGATCTGCAACCCCAACTGAAGAAAACTTCTGAAGAAACATCTGAAATGCTTGTAAAAATTGCCAAAGAATCCGTTGATGTTGAAGCTACACGAAGTGTTGTTGCTGCAGAAGAAGCAATCGCATCGGCCAAGGCAAATGAATCAACAGCCATTAAAACTGATTGTGAGAACGATTTGGCAACCGCGCTTCCTCTTTTGAATGCTGCCCTTGCAGCTTTGGATACATTAAAAAAGCAAGACATTGATTTGGTAAAATCGATGAAAAATCCTCCAGATGGAGTGAAACTAGTTCTTGAAGCAGTTTGCGTCATGAAGGATGTCAAACCTGAAAAAATTCCCGACCCGTCGGGATCAGGGCGGATGGTTTTTGACTACTGGAAATCTTCGTTAAAGATGCTTAATGACGCAAAGTTCTTGGACTCCTTGAAAACATTCGATAAAGATGATATCCCAGCAGCCATCATTAAGAAAATACGAACAACATATATGCCAAATCCTGAGTTTAAACCCGAAAAGGTTAGAAATGCTTCATCAGCTGCAGAAGGACTTTGTACCTGGATTTTGGCAATGGAATCTTATGACAAAGTAGCCAAAGTGGTAGCCCCCAAGCAAATCGCCTTGGCTCATGCTGAAGCTGAATTGGCAGTCACTTTAGCAGGACTCGCAGAGAAAAGAGCGATTCTACAGGCTGTTCAGGCTCGATTGACTGCGTTGAATGATAATTTGCAAGCTCTCTCTGCCAAAAAAGAGCGGCTAGAACGCGAAGTAAAAAGCTGCGAGGAGCAATTGGACCGGGCTCAAAAACTTCTTGGAGGACTGGGAGGAGAGAAACAAAGATGGACAGAAGTTGTAGTCCAGCTTGATGGTACACTCTATAACTTGAGTGGCGATGTATTGCTTTCTGCAGGAGTTGTTGCCTACTTAGGTGCGTTTACAAAGTTCTATAGAACCGAATGTGCTGCAGAATGGCTCGAAAAGTGCAAAAGTGAAGGCATTCCTTGTTCCGATGTGTTCAATCTCCAAAAGGTTCTGGGAGATCCCATTCGAACAAGAGCTTGGAACATTGCTGGGCTACCATCCGACTCCTTTTCGATTGATAATGGTATTATAGTCTCTAATGCTCGTCGATGGCCCCTTATGATTGATCCGCAAGGACAAGGTAACGTTGACTGTCTTTAGGGAAGTTCTAATTGATAGTTACCACAGCAAACAAATGGGTCAAAAACATGGAAAAGGACAATAATCTACAAATAATTAAACTTACGGATGCAGACTATGTCCGAAACTTGGAGAATGCTATTACGTTCGGTGCTCCTGTTTTGTTAGAAAACATCAAAGAAGAAATTGATCCAATTATGGATACTGTGCTACAAAAACAAGTCTTCAAATCCGGAGGAGCCAATTGCATTCGACTGGGAGATGCAGTGATTGAGTACAATGATAACTTCAAGTTGTACATAACAACGAAACTGAGAAATCCTCACTATCTCCCAGAAGTCTCAGTGAAAGTGTCAGTACTCAACTTTATGATTACACCAGAAGGACTAGAAGACCAGTTACTGGGAATTGTTGTCGCGAAAGAAAGACCCGAATTGGAAGAGGAAAAAACACAATTGATTCTCCAAAGTGCCGAAAATAAGAAAAAGCTTAAGGAAATTGAAGATCAAATTCTTCACATTCTTTCGTCTGCAGAAGGAAACATTCTGCAAAATGAAACTGCAATTGAAGTCCTCTCCTCTTCTAAAGTACTCTCGGTTGAGCTGTTCGAAAAGCAAAAGATTGCAGAAGAAACCGAAAAGAAAATCGATGAAACCAGAGACTCATACAGACCCATTGCAAGTCACTCATCTGTGTTATTTTTCTGCATTGCCGACTTGGCAAATATTGAAAATATGTATCAGTATTCACTCAACTGGTTTATTGACCTTTTTGTCAATGGAATATCACAGTCAGCAAAATCCAGCATTGTGAAGCGCCGATTGAAGACACTGGAAACCTATTTCACATACTCGCTCTATTGCAATGTATGCAGATCCCTCTTTGAAAAAGACAAGCTTGTATTTTCTTTCCTGCTTTGTACTGCTATTTTACGAGGAAGGGGAGAGCTGGATCTGACAGAATTCAACTTTTTAACAACTGGAGGTGTGGGCTTGGGCAATTCTGCAGTGGCCAACCCCGATCCTGTGTGGATTGCTGAAAAAACCTGGGCAGAAATTGCACGATTATCAGAAATACCTGCATTTAAAGGCTTTATCGAAGACTTCAATCCAGCAGAATGGAGGCCATATGTAGACTTTCCTGAAGCAACCAATGCCCCACTTCCTGGAAAATGGGGTACGGCACTGAACGACTTGCAGAAAACTTTAGTCGTTCGAGTCTTGAGACCAGAAAAAATCGTCCCAATAATTCAAGAGTTCGTCAAGATAAAGCTTGGACAGAAGTTTATCGAACCACCTACGTTTGATTTGGCAGGAAGTTATGAAGACTCTAGCAACAGGACTCCGCTCATTTTCATCTTATCTCCGGGTGTAGATCCCATGGCCCAGTAAGTATAAGCGTAATTGCAATTTACATATGGATTTATTTGAATTTTCCAATAGACTCTTAAAGTTCGCAGACGACAAGGCAATGGGTGGTCTTAAATGTCAATCTATTTCATTGGGTCAAGGACAGGGACCAATTGCGGCAGCCATGATCAAAGATGCACAAAAAGGCGGGACTTGGATAGTGCTACAAAACTGTCACTTGGCCGTCAGTTGGTTGGCTACTTTAGAGAAAATTGTTGATGATATGTCAACAGCGTCTGTTCATAAGGACTTCCGTCTCTGGCTTACGTCATATCCAAGTGACAAATTTCCTTCATCTATTCTACAAGTTGGAGTTAAGATGACAAATGAGCCACCAAAAGGGGTCAAAGCCAACCTTCTGAAAAGCTACATTAGTGATCCTATTGCTGATGAAAAATTCTTCAATAGTTGCTCAAAGCCTGCAGAATGGGAGAAACTTCTATTTGGGCTGTGTACCTTCCATGCTGTAATCCAAGAACGACGTAATTTCGGGCCATTGGGATGGAATATTCCGTATGAGTTTAATGAATCAGATTTGCGAATTTCTATGAGACAGTTGCTCATGTTTTTGGATGAATATGAGGATATACCGTTCAAAGCACTCTCATACCTCACTGGGGAGTGTAACTACGGTGGACGAGTGACGGATGACTGGGACCGCAGAACTTTGATGAATATCTTGTCAATTTACTACTGTCCAGCAATTGTTGAGGACTTGAATTACAAATTGTCTCCATCGGGAATATACTACGCACCGCCGAAAGGAAAGCATGCAGACTATGTTGATTACATTAAGCAACTGCCGTTGAACCAAAGCCCTGAAATATTTGGGGTACATGACAATGGAGATATTGCAAAACAGCTAGCTGACACTAAGAACCTCTTCGCTTCTGTCATAAAAACACAAGAAGCCAGTGTCTCTGGTGGTGGAGGTGGAGGTGGGAAGAGCAGTGATGAAATTGTCACAGAAGTTGCTACTGATATTCTAAATCGCATCCCACGAACGTTTAATCTTGAAGCTGCTGTGGCGAAATATCCTGTTAATTACAATGAAAGCATGAACACAGTACTTATTCAGGAAATGATCCGATTCAACAGACTGATTCAAATAATATTGGTCAGTTTAGTCAATGTACAAAAGGCTATTCGCGGTTTAGTAGTAATGAATGCGGAACTTGAAGATTTATGCAAGAGTATTCTCATTTCACGCGTTCCAGCAATGTGGGCATCAAAGAGCTACCCTTCATTGAAGCCTTTAGGGGCCTATATCACAGATTTAGTCGCCAGAATTAAGTTTTTTCAAACTTGGTTTGATGATGGCTGTCCCAAATTGTTTTGGATGTCTGGGTTTTTCTTTACACAGTCATTTATTACCGCAGCCCTTCAAAACTATGCTCGAAAGTTTTCCATTCCAATCGACGAACTTGGCGTGGAGTTTGAAGTTATGAATAGTTTGGCACCTTCATCCATTACAACGTCACCAGAAAACGGAGTTTATGTGAACGGCCTATTTTTGGAGGGGGCAAGATGGAACAAGGAGAAAGGTGTAATAGGTGAATCACAGAACAAAGTGTTGTATGACTCTTTGCCTGTAATCTGGTTCAAGCCTTGCCGCATGGCAGACTTTAAGCTGGCATCAACATATGACTGTCCAGTATACAAAACCAGTGCTCGACGGGGTGTTCTTTCCACAACTGGACACTCTACAAACTATGTAATATGTATTAAACTACCCTCTGATAAACCTCAGAAACACTGGATATTGCGTGGTGTGGCAGCTTTACTGCAGCTTGATGATTGATGGCTCTGCTTTAAAAATAAATCCATTTATGAAGAGACTGTGTATTCCTTTGGTGGAAAAGTTTCCACTGAGGGCCAATATGAACTGATGGGGAATACAATAATCATACCAGATACTTGCTTCTTATATTTGTGCACTCTACCTGTTGGGTTCTTGTTGTGCCTTCCTTTCTTACGAATTGATGTTACGAAAATTGACGATTGCTTGTGCTGCTTCACCCAGGAGGTAGTAGAAGTTTGGTAGAACATAAATACAATATGTTTTGACAGAATGGCAGCGAGAACTTGCTGTTTTTCAATGTTGATCGAGCCAAAAAATTTTTAGAAACATATATGTTTAAAATTTTTTACACTCATCGCCTCCTTAGCTCAGTTGGTCAGATCGCCTGCCTAGTAAGCAGGAAGTCAGCGGTTCAAATCCGCTAGGAGGCATTTTCTTTTTCTTTAGTACCAGGTTTATTCGACAGGAATCAACAAAGAAAGTTTTCTTCTAGCCAATCGCTAACCAACTCGCTACCACCCTTCCTCTCCTCGGTTGACCAGAACTCTAGAAGCTGGCTTACCTCTTTTTTTCTGCAATTCTTTGCGTTCAAAATCTTCACAAGGGTCAAAACTCGAGCAAGCAACTGCGGAGCAATAAGTTTCCCATGATGACCATTTTCTATCACAACAGGGCCCAGGATGTCTCGAAAACCTGATAAACTGAAGGTTTCTTCATCATACGCCATAAAAACTCCATAAAACGTGGCCAATTGCTTGTAGGAATCTGTTGATACATCAAATCCCTCCTTCATTGCAGGAATTTCTTTCAGACTGTTGGTTGGAATGGAAGTGAGTTATTTTTACGAGCTGTAAATTGGCAGTTGTCCTTACCAACTGATGACATCAGTACCAGAAACACAGCCTTCTCTAAGGAGTTCCAGCAGCAGTTTTGCTGTTCTCGCGACAGCAGATGTACGCTTGGACTGCATGGCGTTAACAATAAAAGACGACACCATCAGTTTGTCAAACAAGTGGGTCCCCAGATTCTTGACTCCAATGACAGCATCGTAAATATCAAAGTCTAGGAACCACTCTTCGAGGATATGTTCAATTTTGCGAAATACTTTGGTTTTATTCATGCCTGGTGGAACTGAGGAGTCATGGGTTTGAGGAAGTCCCTCATTTTGAAGTTGGCGAAAGAATTTAAAGTTGCCATTCACGTCCGCCGATACTGGTAGTGGCTGTTTGTGCGTTTCAAAGGATCTGTTTGATGCGGTTGCAGTCTCGTGCAAATCTCTGTCGTCATTTTCGACTTTAGACCCCATATTTAAGTCAACAGCTCTGAATGTCACACGGCGATTTTTGGCTGCGTCTTTTTTGAGGAGTTTTTCGGACTGCGGTTCGGCAGCTTGTGCTACAACCTCCGCTGTACCGTAAGGGGCCATGCTTCCTGGTTTGGAAACTTCTTGAGACTGCACTGACAAAGACTGAACAACCACACTTGTTTGATATGCCTGCCAGTCAAAGCTCTCCTCTTTGAACGCCGCAGCAGGCGTGTCAGGTTTTGACTGTTGACCACCACCACCACCACCACCCATCGACTGACTCAAAGCATTTGGATCATACTGAAGAAACTGCTGAAAACAATTTTTTTCTTGTGGCGTGAATCTCCAAGTGTATTTTCCTTTCCCTGGAATAGTAAAAGCAAGTAGATCTTGGATAGACGCGTCAATTGACTGTGTAGTCCAACTGTAATCCGACAGGTTCTGGGAAGCTTCCCATTTGCAGTTCAATAGCGTGTCTACGAGGTCAGTTGGGTATTCGTCGTTGATGGTGTGTTTGTTGAGCGTGTTTTTATAGTCGACGCTTAAACAGAGGCAAGTCCCAAACGCGCTTGGAGCCAATAAGACAGGAGAGTTCCAAGCTGATTGGGATGGTTTGATGCGGCCAGATCTCTCGAGCTGTTCGCAAATAGTTTGTAGAAGGCGAACTTGCGGATGTGTAAAGGGTCTGTTGGCAATTGATATTGGCTTCAAGTTTGAAACTGACACAGAATGACGGACTTTGGCTGGTGAAGGGCAACTCAAAGCGTTGAGGTCTTTTGCTGTGGCCTTTGTTTTGGGTTGTGCTTCTTCTGCTTCAGTTTCGACGATGGGTCCAGGAGGAACTTCACCCCGTGAGAGCATTTCACGGATTTGAAGCGCAGTGAAACGCGTCCTTGAAGATTTCGTTAGAAAACTGGGAACTTGAAGGAAGCCCATGGACACTCACATTTGGTCAAAGAATTGTCACTGCTTTTTTTTTTTGTTGGTGGCAAAAAACAACAACCACCATATGGACAGTTTAGAGCAGGATTTGATTGCCCTCAAACTTGAGATTCTAAAAGAAGCCATCGCCAATGACTTGAAGAATCCAACCAAGAATACTTCTCAGCAGCCGCCAGCCATAAAGCCATTAAATTCGCGATATTCCATCAACCCAACCCTCGTAAATGCCCTGAAAACTTCAACAACTATCCCCACAGAATTGACTGCCTTCACGGATCGAATGAATTCCCTTCTGGATCGTTTGGAAGCATCTGCTGTGGCACCAAACGCTGCGTCCTCGCCTGATAAAATGAATACAGCTGATATGATACAAAGCATTACATTACAAAACGCCCAACTTCATGGCTTAATCATGGCAAATATGATGGCAAACTCAAACAACAGGGGGGGACATCATCGCCTTGGGCAGCATGGAATGAGGGGTGATCCTAACTTGGACTTTGGAGGTTCGCCATACAACTTTCAAGGGGATGATAATTTCGTGGAATCTTCGGGTGGATTAGACGGAATTCAATCGCGTACGTTGCTGCGTGGGCCGTCCGATATGTAAGTTGAATGCGCCCCTCTTGCTCTGACAGTCAATACTTTGGCGTATGTGTTTACAGAGGATTTAGAGTTATTCGCACTTGTTTTCCCTTAAATTCAAATATTGTCGCGCGCTCTCTCTCTCTCTTCTCTTCCACTCTCTCAAATGACAACACGCTGACAAAAACCCCCCACCCTCCAAAAAAAAAACCATGAAATATTCAGGAAAAGATACCCAAAACCCACACCCCCAATCAAAAAACCCACCCGAAAACTCCGAATCGCAATCCACGCAATCCTCTTCTCCATCCGCATGACCAAAGAATCCCGCCTCTTCCGCTCCTACAGCAAAAAAGTGGGCCAAGTCATTTCAGATGCCGAAACCCAATTCATTCTTGTCTTTAAAGAACGCAAGTCCTTTTTCAAGGCGATTGAAGCGGTTTGTGCAATCACAAAGGAGGGGACGAGTTTGGTTTATAAAGAGTCTTTTGCGAATCCGAGGAGGAAAGGTGTTTTGGTGCAAGAAAAGGTTATACAGATTGGGGATTGTATTATTGAGGCTTTGGAACGGGTAAAAATTCCCCCCCTTGGAAATTATAACAAAACAAAAAAAAACCCCATTAAAAAACATACAAACATAACAGATAAGTGTATCCCTCATCACAGAGCGTCTCGGACCCACAAACTCTATTCTACGCGTGTTCGACTACCTAATCTCCAAAGACGTGCAATACCCACCAACGTACCTGTGGTCCGCCGAATCGCGCGACTTGCTCGACGCCCCCCCTTACAAAAAAAATCCCAAAAAACTTGGCCAGGAAACAGCTCGCATTCTTCTTCTCTACTTTTTCGCGAAAACGATACTGCTCAAAGTGTTTACTCATCCTGTGGATCAGCAAATCGTGAATAAGCATAACCCGTTGTTGGAAACGAATATGGTTACTGTGAGCGTGTTTTTGTTTCGGGGGTTGCAGTTGGCGTGTGATCATAGTGGGGATGCTGATGCTGATGAGTTTAATGCGGGGCTGCCAAATGGGGATTTTAAGTCAAGTTGGATAAGTCCGGCGTTAGTGACTGCTATTCAAGCGTGGGCTGGGAGGCTGAAAGATTGGAGTATACGGCTCTACAAAGATTTAGAAAAGGGCGTTGTTCCAGTTTGAAAAAAAAAAAAAAAAAGTGAAACGTTTTTTTTTCAATCATATATACGATCTATATTACATTGTATTAAAACAGTCAAACTTCTTCTTCTTCTTCCATACTTTGGTCCGCACCATCTTCATCCATTTTCCCAATCAATTTCTCGACTCTCTCGAATCCCGTCCGAGCAGCTTCATACGCCCCGTCAATCTTGAGGGCAATATTATAATGATCCATTGCTCGGTCATATTCTTTCATGCAAGTGTAAATATCCCCTAAACGCGTGTGTGTAATGTGGTTGTTTGTGTGGATCAAGTTGTTTTGTAACAAGGCAACAGCCTCCTTGTGCTTTGAATCACCAACAAGACTCGACACAAGAGCATAGAGAGCTTCAGTGCATTTTGGATCCATTTCAAGAGCCCTGGCAAAAGCTGATGCAGCCTTTGTTCTTTCATGTTAGAGAGATGATTTTGGGTACATCTACAAACACAAGGAATCACCTGCGCTTTTCGATCCGGCATATGGCTAAAAACACATCCAACAAGAACTACTGCTTTTGCATTGTTGGGCATTCGTTGGATGGCTTCCTTGGCGATTGCCAATGCTTCCTTTGTCCTTTTGCATGCAATGTAGCTCTCCATCAAACCTCGATAGCTTTCAAGACCAGGAGAAAGTTGGTGCGCAGTTCTAAAAGAAGTTATGGCTTCTTGTGGTTTACTTTGACCAAGCAGTAGTGACCCTTTTTGAAACAGAGAAGAATAATTAAGGAATGGTATATATGAGAAGATGAATGAATGTCACTCATTCAATTATTCAATTAAAAGAATACCTTTTAGTAAATGGCCTTCTGCATGGTTGCTTCCTAGGAGCAAGCTTTTTTCAACGAGATGCATTGCGCGATCCATATCGCCTTTGGTTTCACTAAAAAAATAAGTGAATATATAGCATAAAATCAAAAAAAAAAAAAAAAAAAAAAAAAAAAAAAAAAAAAATTCATACCAGTACCGGGCCATAACAATCCAGGGCTCTGGCCTGTCTTCCGACAAAGCCATCAAATCTGTTGCAAGGCGATTCAATTGTATATGAGTTCCTTGCGTCTGTAGAATTCTAGCAAACTGGTCCATATGTTTGATTGTGTAGGGATCTTTTTGGCGGACCTTTTTGGGATGGTTATGTTTAGATTGAATAAAGGAAGGCCGTAGCAAGCCAAATAAGAATGCACCGCCTTCGGCGGTGAGTCATGACCGCCTTCGGCGGTGAGTCATGAACGCCTTAGGCAGCAAGACAGGCCGAAAGAAAACACCGCCTTTGGCGGTGTTATTCCGTTTTACCACGCAAATCAAACCTGATCAAACAAATAATGAGCAAGAATATAGTTGCCCTCCTTCACATGACAATCAGCAATTTCCAGAGTAACGTCTGAATTCTGTTTCAAAATCTGCTGGGCGATAATCAATTTGC